GCAATCATTTATCAATGATTTTTTTTCAATCTGAGCGTTTTAATGCCTCGTAATTCTCTTCTTATTGGCCAAACCCAATTAATTATGCTTGATTCTTTTCAGTGTATTTACTCCGGTTTTATTTATGACTAACACACGAATTTCACTAGACGCCAACATCTACTTTTTACAATCTTTTTTGTCAAACTTATTTTTTAAAAGATACTGGTTATACGGTTTACTTCACTTCTCAGGTCTGCTAGCAAGACATTATAGCACGACGTCAAAATCATATTAAAAGCGCATACTATATTAAAAGATATTTTTAAAATAGTTATTATTAAATAGAATTCTTGTAAATAAAGCAATTACATTTATATTATACTATATCATAATTATAGCTATAAAGCTATCCTTTACATATTTATAGTTTTTTAAATGACTCCATCCGGAGTTGGGGGATTAGAACCCAAAGATATCATGAAACATAATAAACTATGCATTATCGAATAGATTCCAAAAGACCTTTCCACGCTCCCTGCACGATTAAGGCAGATGACAAGGTGAATGATCATACCAGAATCGACAATGGCAGCTGACCATTTGGCCAAAGAAGCTCTGGTTGACGCCCAAATAAGCGGTTTGCTTCAATCTCACCCGACCCTGTCGATGGGTCAACACTTTGCAAACTTGCAGTTGAGGCCGAGACTTGCGTAGAAGGACTGGACAGATTGGCGGCCTGGCAGCCGGTCTCCGGAGTCCCAACATTTGCTCCGCCTCCACCAATGCCTGGGCTTGATGCCCCAGCAACATTGTTAAGAAACCATGATGCCAGGTTCATTTTATCTCTCTTTCGCTTTTGAGGCCCGAGTTCGCCTTGTGAGCAGCTTATCCGTCCTGACGGTTGACTCGGCAAGCTCGACTGACTATCAACCGAGGCTGAATCATCCCCGAACGGTGGAATTGGATCACGATGCAAGTAGACGCGTTGATCCTCGTTGGTGATGCCCCCAACGCATGATTCTTGGCTGCTAGGACCGCTCAAGATGACCAGACCTTTATCTGCTTTAATTGGTGTGTATAAGTGGGTTAAGAGTTATGCACGAGTTTTTGGTGGATTGTTAGAGAAGTGAGAGAAAGGTCAAAGGTTAGAGGTAAAAATGCGCTGGTGGTAGACATATTTTAGCCATCCTGAAGTGATGGTAGAATGCCTATTTAAATCTGAACTGGGGCACATTAAAGTAATTATGTATTTCTTGTTGACTGGAATGAAATTTGGCTCCATTCGTTCGAGATGAATCTACATTTAAAGAGGAATGCATTCCTGAATGAATAACTGGGCTTACAGTTAAGAGTGCTTAATAGTAAGCAGACTAGTCTGTTTTATTGATAAGATGGGATTGTGGCGTTATGAGTGCTTTTGGTATCACATATAGGTGCAAAAATCATCCTGAAAACACATATTATCAGACTCAAAAGGTAACGCTTATGTGGAGGAAGATATAGCATAAGAGAAAATGCAGGATGCTTAAGAATTAATGCTGCTAACAAGTTAAAATCAAGTGCAAATATGCGCACTCTTCTTAGCAAATGTAACTAAAAGTCGGCTTTTGAGCAATCTTAGGATTGAAAAATGTTGAACCGAACTCTTGATTAGATGTAATTTAGTCTAACTGGATCTTTCTAGTTTACTCTGTACTTGAAGCACTCTCCCTCGACTTATGTGAATACGCTTTGTGCTTTCCTCTATCGTATGACAAAGATAATCAAGGCCAGTTAGCATTCTCACAACAAATTCAAGCAGAATAATTAAGAACGCCAACCAGCTCTTTCATACATGCTGACTGCATACACATAACTTTCGGAACTGTTTGAGGCATTCAGTGACTTGCTTAGCAGATTTCATATACACAATTAAAAGCACGTGGATATGTAAATGTGAATGTAAATAACACAATCTAGCTTGGATAGCTCCCAATAACTAGAAGAAAGTATAACCTCTATCCTCTGTCATAGAGACTAATAACCAATTTTCAATCATAACTTAAATTTTCTGATTGGTTTATGAGGTTCATCTTGCTTATT